GGTACCCACTAGATTGCCTTTGTCAATTTCCTCCAGCCATCTATCTGACATCTGAACTAGGGCACTTGATGTAGAGTGATACTGTTTATATGCGTGCTGGTTGTGGGATAGAATGTCATTGGAGATAAGGTAAGTTTGAATTTGGTGATTACATATCTTCTCCATCAGTTTACTTATTGCGGGTTACATCATAGGGGTATATACGGTTCCAAATGTAAACCTGTTTCTATATATATAAAATTTGTTAACAATACTGAGCTATCGCAGTCCCAAATAGAAATTAATGTTAAAGTGTTGTCACCTACGTATTGTTAGAAATCATAATAGTTACAAACGATAAGCAAACAAATGTCAGTTATTATAAGTTTATACACCCCCCCTCATCACGGTTCATGACTTAATTGGATTTTCTAATCCATACGGACTCCTTAATCCAACGGATAAGTCTTTTGTCTTCTCGGTCTATTACACAGTTATTTCTTGTAATGTGTTCTGTGACTGCTGATTTGTTTTCTTGTTTCTCAGCTTCTTTCTTTCTTGCTCTGGTGTACCTTCCCGCCTTGATGCTGTCTACCTCTTTCCTATGTTCTTCTAGTCTGCATCCAAATGTTCTTCCTGTCTCCCCTATGTATACCTTCTTGCAAGTCATGTATTGTATCTTGTAAATACAATCTGTTTCCACTGAGTCTTCAAGTTTGTCTTTGGGATGTAACACCACTCAGCTACAACTTTTCCTCAGTTCTTTGACTAGCTGTGTTTGGATGTTTGTGAGTTTGTGTGGATACGAGGGTAGATCAAAAAGTCCTCGGCCTCACCTAGAAAATAAAGGTCAAACTCCTATTCTTTGGTATAACTGTAGACTATGATGTCTTACATCACTGCACACAAAAATGCAAATTTTTATATTCATTAATTAGCACGTGACGCCCCGTGAAAATGGGGCGGGTGAGGGCACAAAATGGCCGCAACAGAAGCGTGTGCTGTGATCAAGTGTATCGATAAAAAGGGATATCTCCTAAGGAAATCCATGAACACATGGTCAAGACACTTGGTGATGACTCCCCTTCTTATTCAACTATAAAGAAGGGGGTTGCTAGCTACAAGCGCGGCAAGTTGAGCACCAAAGATGAACATAGGTCAGGATGCCACAAATCAGCACCACGGACAATCCAGTTGAGGCCATCCATCACATGGTAGTGAATGACAGATGTGAGACTGTCCAATATGTAGCAGAGTATTTGGCCAGAGTTGTGGCTCAGTTCACAATGTTTTGTCAGACATTCTGGGGATGAGAAAACTGTCTGCAAAGTGGGTGCCTAAAATGTTTTCTGAAACATCAGAAGTTAAACAGGCTGGACATTTCAAGGAACGAATCAGTCCAATCCATGCAATTACCTCAAAACATTTGTCACCCAAGATGAGACATGGGCTCACCACTTTCACCCCAAATAAAAACAAGAATTCCGAGACTTCATACCTCCATGAAATATGGGCTTGATATGTAAATGTAAATTTCCTCTTTAATTATGCAAATTACCTCCGCATTAACATGATATATGCATTGTGATGTATGTGAACTTTTGATTAACTTACAGATGTCCCAAGTATGACATTCCCATAATTCACCATTAAGAAATCATAGAATTTTTGCATAAATTATGCAAATTAGGTCATCATTTGCATAATTAGTATCTGTTGATGTTTTTCCTGCCATAGGTTACATACATTACATGTATGAAAGTAGTATAATGTAAAACACTGTAATTATAGAATTTCCTCATTAACTATGCAAATAAAGTCCTCATTTGCATAATTTGCATTTAATCATGTACATCTCTCTCTCAGCTACCTACACACCAAAAATTATGAAAATATGTTGTTCCTATCTTGACTTATTGGCTTTTAAACATTTCGCCAGAAAGTGCCCTGCAGTTTCAGAACAAGCTGCTAGTGGGACCAAACTCACACCACTTACTCCTCACAGGAAAAGCAATCTTTCACCAAAACATCAAGACCATAGCATGTTCAGGACAAAAGATACAAAAACCGGAAGTTCTGCTGCAGTACCAAGGTCATCCACCAGGAGGCCCATATTTGACCTTGACGTTTGTCTTCCTAAGAGTTACCAACATACCAAATATCATCATAATCCATAAAGGCGTTCTGAAGTTATGCTGACCACAAAGTTGCGGAAACACAGACACACAGACATACATACATACAGACAGACACGCCAAAAACAATACCTCCATTTTTCATGGAGGTAAAAACAGAGCAAACAATGAATGAAGAATGTTTCCCGGCCCCCAAGAAGTTTTATCGAGTTTCATCCGTTGACAGGGTTTTGACCTCTGTTTTCTGGGACAGTAAGGGAGTAATCATGATTGCCTACCTGCGAAGGGGTTAAAGCATCAATGGGGAGTACTATTCAACAGAATTGCGACAGTTGAGGACAACGGCCAAGGAGAAAAGAAGAGGAAAGCACCGAGCTGGCGTGATGACAATGCACCTGTCCACACAGCACAGGGGTCAGTGTCAGTGTCAGCAGCAAACGAATTTGGCTTTGAAGTCTTTCCCCACCCTCCCAATTCACCTGACCTAGCAACGTTGGACTTCTACCTATTTCCTAAACTGAAGTTCCACTTTCGTGGTCAACGTTTTAATGGTAATGATGGCAGCCCCCCTCGTATATCCATGTGTGCGTGTATGTATGTGTTTTCTTTCGTTTGTGTGCGTATATGTGTGTGTGTGTGCGTGTGTGCTTACGTGTATATGTGTGTGTGTTAGGATATGTGCCTGTTTTTTTAAATTGAAACATGTATTGACAAAACATGGTGACGACACACTCAAGTTACACTTAAGACCATACATAATACATAGGACAAAAAAGCACGAATTAAAATATAGAAATTAAGTACAACTAGAGTTCCACGATCTCATACTTTTCAAATACCCCAAGTATAAAATTCCAGGAAGTCACCACTTTGCAATTATGCAAATTAGGTCTTCATTTGCATAATCGATATCTGCCTGTGTTTCTCTCGTTCCTAATTACATGTCACGTGCTTGAATAGTCCTATCATGGAATGCAGCTGATTTATCGAATTTCCTCATAAATTATGCAAATTACATCCATATTTGTACTGTTATATTATTATGTCAAGCATCACTCAAGCTACCCACATACCAAAAATCAAGACAATCCTTCAATCGGTTCCTTTAAACATTTTTCAACAAACGCCCCTGCAGTTCCAGAGCAAGCAGGTAGGGGACTCAAACTCATGTCACTTTCTCCCCAGCACAAAAGCTGTCTACCAAGTAAATTTCGTGACCCTAGCACGTCTAGCTCACGAAATATCAAAACCGGAACTTCAGCTGCAGTACCATGGCAAGCCAACCAACTCCCACGCATTCAAGATCAAGATCGGCCAAGTTTGTAATGGTCCGAGTCGTCCGACATCCGCAATAACTAAGAACACATAAGCAAACAAGAGCTCGATTACCTCATACCTTCGTTATGAATGAGGTTGGATTGACAGAAATGTACCGAGCTGTAACTGTTATATTTTTTTAAATATTTTTTGAATAGAATCGCCGGTGCCGACAAAATTGAATCATCATGGTGCCATCTACTCTCCAAGCAGAGGTTTGGGTTTTGGGGGTATTTTTAGCATGTTTTTAGGCTTTTTTTATCGGGGTTTCTCTTTTACACTGAATTTTTACCCTTGGTGGGAAAAAAATTCAGTGAAAAAGAGAAACCCCAATAAAAAAGCCTAAAAACATGCTAAAAATACCCCCAAAACCCAAACCTCTGTTTGGAGAGTAGGTGCCATCTAACGTTACAAACATCTGCCCCCCCCCACCCCGGAGGCTGTGACCATCCGTTCCCAATACCTCAAATACCTTCACCTAGCATACATTCGAAGCTACATGTCAATCCTAAAAGTGCTGCTGCAATACCTTAGAAAGCCACTAGAATGTCCAAATTCGAACTTAACCTTCCTTTTCCATACTACCTACAACAAGCTACCTACAAAAAACTGTAAAAAAAGACCATAGTATGTCCACAGCACGAGATATCATACCCATGTACCCCGCTGCAGTACCTTAGAAAAATGCTAGAGTACCCAGAATTGACCTTGACAGAATTGACATCCTACCTACCAAATATCACAAAGATATATGCACCAAACCTAAAGTTATAACCGATTACAAAATCAGCAACCCCTATGTATGGTGTACCTGAACTTTTAACCTTCTGACGAAGGTACCAAACACACGGAAAACAAAACCTCTGTACATGCAGGTAAAAAAAAAAATTACATCTGCGAAGACAGGGATACAAGTTTTTTTTACAATGATTTATTTTTTTGGATTACACAAACATGCACACCAGGCAAAACAATAAACACGTATACAGTCGTGTACAAACCGATATACAAAAACAATGACTAATATACAGCCATAGATATATAGTTATGATGCTTAATGATCCATGGGACCAAAGCTGTATACTGACAAGTGACATACATGTAAGCATGTAGTAGCAGGTACACAATAGATTTTCCTTAAATCTGAGGTTTACAAACACAATTTAGAATTATGATAACTGAACATAAAGCTGTGTATGTATATACGTTTGGACATGGCTGAATATTCATTTTGGTTCATGCAATTAGAATTCTAATTTGTCAAAAATTCATGGACAGAATACAAAAAGTAGAATTAGGCCACACCAATTTAGTTTCTTGGTTAACACGGCTTTTTCTAGAAAAATAATGGAGCGGGCTGGGAAAAAAAAACAGGCCTACGCATCCTAATATGGCCCAAAATGGTACGATAGGAGCCATGAAGTCAACACACCAGGCTTGTTCAAAATTTAAACAATGAATTTTGAATTTTTAATGATACCATTGCTTTGAAAGATGGAATAACTGTAACAACTAAGAAGAAAAGAACTGTTTTCAACTGTGGCAAACTATGAGCATTTTGCAGTTGAGTCTGAATTTTTTTTTCTTTTGCAAATCAGAAAAAATGAAGCGGGCGAATCTGTTAACCAAGAAATTAAATTGGTGTGGCCTTATACCAGAAGCTACAATTGTATGAAATGCATTGTGTAAAAAGAAAAGAAAGGAACAAGATTCTAAGTGGCACAAAAACATTGTTTCTACCTCTTGTACAGTGATTGAACTTAAGAAATAATTGATGGATACAATATCATATATATATATATATATATATCATAGTTTTTAGTTTCTGTACATCTAATCATGCTTTTTTTATCTCATGTATTGCACAGTCCCGTGTTGGTACCCTATATTGTTCGATAATACTACTATAATTATCATAATACATATCTTGCAGTTACTAATGTTGGAGTGATTTTGTACGTATCTATCTAATATACATCATAGATATTCCAAATTGTTACTTATCAGTGAATCTGAACAGTTTAACAGTTCCATACACTGTATATGAGTGCACACTGTATGACAGGAAATGTTTTTATTTTACAAAAAAGTAGAATATTTGTTAGACATTACATCTGCTTATTGTTAACCTTTAGGATCACAGAGAATATGAAATAAATGCCATCATTAAGCAGGGATGTCAATACATATTGCAGACATACATGTGTGTTAGGTTATCCACTGCATTAGTCTTCCTTTACTTCCCAATGTCAATACATGCATTTACCAATGAAGATTAATTTGGTATTACTTACATACAATACCCTTTGATAGTAACAATAGCCTGTACATGTAGTTGTGTTCATTCTTGAATCTACATGTATATCTTTTCATAATATCTCTTTTGCTTAGCTAACTTTTGCAGATATTTCTGAGTAAATATTTTTTTTAAATTGATGTTATACTGAAATTTATATCATGTTGAAAACAAATTTCTAACAGATTTTGAAATACATTGTGATGATCTTATTCTATGAAACACACAACAGATCAAAACTAATTTCACTTCACACATGAATGCTATGCTTGTACATTGTACAAGTCTTTCTGAATGATCACATTATTACTATATTATAGATAGACAAACTTGATATGCAAATTGCTTCTTTAGGTTTCATCAGGCTCATCCGTCATCAGATTTGCTCACAATGCAAAAGTTTAACAACAGCTTGCATTGGTATTTAAAACCACTCACATTCATGTTGATAAGTAACACATACATGTTTTTCACCTACCAGAAATAGTCCAAGGGTCAAATAATCCATCTTCATGTGACCTCTTAGTACTGATCCCAAGTGTTGAACTCAAGCAGGACTGACCTTGAGTATGTCCTTGAGAAACAAAGCCGAAGGGGACATACCAATTTCTTCTTGTCGGTCCATGTCACACTTCACATTTTTATGACCTTTTCAAGTATGTTGCCTCCTGTACTTAGTCGATGCCAAAAACTCATATCACCTCTCTCTGGTTTGTCAGTCTTTTTTTCACAGTTGATTAAGAGATCACCTTTTACCTTGACTCCTCTACATTTGAGATTGGTATTCATGCTCCTTGGATTACTCATCGTCGCCTTCTTTCTTTGGCTCCTCGAAGCATATTCGAAAAAAGCTACTAAGGAGTCTGTAAAGATGCCTCTTAGTCTTCTGTCCTTGTAGGTTGTGCGCTCGGTCAGTGTAGAACTGAAAGGATGGAGAGGAAAGATTACAGGGGAGAGGAAACCACAAGAACATTGGAGGGCAGCCCACAGCACAATCAGAGCACAAGCCATCACGACACCACAACAACGCTGCATCTGTAGATCAAAGGCATTCTATAGGACGGTTGGCAGGTGGTCTTCATTGTCTCTGTTGACAAATTTCAACTGGGTAGAAAGTAAAGACAATTTCCTGGGGATGACACACTTCCTGATGTTTTACATTGTATGAAAAAAACTGAAATAAATATTTGTCTAGCTGTCCAGCTATATTTAGCTAACATTTACTTTGAAAGTAAATGTACATGTATGCACAACCCACTTGTACAAAGAAAAAGTGCAAATGCAGGGGTTCCAATTTACACACAAACACAAAACAAATGAGGGTGCTATAATGTTTTGTTGATGTCTCGGGGGTCTTTAAATTTGAAATGTTATCCACAATACATTACATCATTATGTACATGCACAGTTAAACAATTATGTATGAATTTGCATGATGGATTAAGTCAGAAGCAACTATTGAATGAACAGATAACCTAACAAAGTTTAGGATGATATCCAGGCTATCACCAAGCTGAATGCACATATAATATTATATGACTTTAGAAAGGGAGATTGAGAAGATAAATGTTTCTTTCTAAATGTCAGCATTTTAGAAAACCAGACCTGCTGAATCATCATAGAGAATGCCTGTTGGACAGAGAAGGGCACAATAGCAAAGGGGGAAGGAGAGAAGAAGAGACGATGATCAACTTATATCTGCTGGAACAATGACAACAATTAATCACCTTGAAATGCAACAGACAGTAATGAGGAACATGTATAGCACAGGCCACAGAAGTGAGGTTATATATGTTCATCAGGCAAGACAACTTAAGCAATCAACATTTTTCTTTGTGAAAGGTATATAATTACATATCACAGACTATCATGTGTCTACGTCCAAGGTGTATTGAGCTTCTCAAGTAAAGCTTAAATGAAGAGTTGTCAATGCTGAAATTTGAGAAGTACACAGCCTCAAGTGATTGTGCACATGTACAATGTAAAGCACTGCTAGAGGATTGTTCTAGCAGTGTTGCTGTGTTGATACAGTCTTCATGCAAGCAAGTTAAACAACTTTATACTTTAAACCATAGCCAAACAAAAACAAAGCAGGACCATTATGGGCCTGATAAACTAATAACCATGCTGATGTGCCCTTGCGGTGGTGTGTTGTGTGTGAGCAGGTCCTTATACAGCTGGTACAGAACAGTCACACAGTAAGCCACGCAGCCACAACTCCTCCAAGTGCAGTAATGTCAGTATCAGAGAAAGACAACTTAGTACACAGACCAGAGAGCTTACCCCATGCCAAGGAGTTTTTCTTGGGGGGAAATTGTTCCAACAGTGATGACATGTTCCACTTAGCCACATGTATATGATGAATGTACAGAGCACATCAGAAACACAACTAGCCAACCTTATAATTAAAACCAAAATAAATATGGATCATTTTGATCACCACTGACAAATGGTGTTCTTTAATCTTTTATTTTAAGAGATTGTACTAAATCATGCCATAGGAATGAGCTAGGCTTTCTGTTGATGACAGACAGTATTATCTGCTTCTTACATGTACATACAGTAAATATACACTAGTTTCATCCAGATTTGTTTTACACAATATTTCAGATTTCTGTGTCTTGGGCCAAGAAACCTGGGCCACCCAGGTGATCAGTGTCTAATATGTGAGAGTGCATGCAAAGTGCCAAATTTCATCCATTATGTAAATGACTTTGTAAAGGTATAGTAGGTACGGAATTTTTCTCATAAAGAAAAAGCAGGACTGAATAATTCCCCCTTGGAGGGAGAGTCTCTTAGTGATATGGTTTATATTGAGAGGAAAATGAAAGCTGAAATTGATCAAATGTAAAATTTTGTGAAGAAAAACTTCCACATTTGAAAACGAACACAAACAACAGCCTTGAAGACAACCATTCACATGTAACCTTTGACTTTTGAACTTCATAACTCCGCCCCATCCAAAGGAACCTTGAAACAGTCTTTGAAATAATCAGCCAAAAGCTGAAACAGATGCCTTTGTGTCTGGTTACCAAGCAACGAGTGTGCCTTGTCTGTGTACAGCTGAAAGCAGAAAAAACCAAACAATCATGAGTATTGAGTAACAAACATGTACCCTTAATTTCATTACCTTACCATTCACTGTCATACCGTACAATTACTTATAATATTATGTATGTATGTATGTATGTATGTATGTATAAAATGGCAACTATCTGCTTACATTTGTAGATCTTCCGACATTAGTGTTGCAAAGAGACCTATATCATTAACACTGTCTCTGTTTGGAAGTGGTCCGTGAAAAAGTTAACAGACAGTGCACATTTTGTAAGTTAGCAGGGAGAAGTTTAATCAAACTCAACTGTCTTAGAGCTGTGTATACGAACACATTTTAGGTACAGGTCCATACCTGAACAATTCAACAAATTAATATGTTCATCTTAACTTCTTCAATAACAACAGAACATGAATAAACATGACAATTAAGGGTCAGTTTTTGTTTATGGAGAATTATTACACAAAACATAGGCAAAACTAAGTAAAAAGATTTTCATTCCCCATGAGGCCACTGATGTAGATCAGTGGCCTCATGCATAAAAAACTGACCAAAGTGACGTGGGGAGTGTGACTAACGGTAATTTGCAACTGCAAGCTCAAGAGAAGCATGCTTGGTTTCCACCACAGCTAAGGGTCCAGAGACAATTATCATTTTGCCTTCACATGATAATTATTGTGGGTTTACAGAAAATGCTGGGTGCCAAGCCTGGGTTGACTAGTCAGCTGTCTACCTGGGCTGAGTACTTCAAGTTACTCAGATGCCCCATGCATATCATCACGAATGATGACACTTCTTAAGGCCCCCTCCCAGTAATGATAACAGGTTAGGCTGTGCGTGGGCCGGGGTGAGTCCCTGGCATAAACACAAAGTGGATTGGCCATGTGACCATGTGGCTACTGGCAGCCTGAGAAACGCCATCTTACCTGGAAGACTTAGTAACAACTATAGGCTCATATTGCACTGTAAAAAAGTTAAGGATTGTCTGCTATGAAACAAGGCTAGAATATGGCAGTTTTTTTGCAGTCTGTAACTATCCCCAAATATCTAGTCTGGCAGAACAATGAAAAAAGAAGATAAAAAGTAATAAGATAATAAAAAGAATTTTGTAAATAGAGCCATGTGGTGGACTGCATAGTATGTCCCACTGGCATCAGAGTAAAGTGGGCTAGAGGGGATATATATGTATAATATTATGTGATGTTGCTGTTGGCCTCCTGTTCACTAACAATTACTGACACTTTCCTTTCATGTTGAATAAGGTTTAGGATTGCCTGCTTTGAAACAACACCCCTCCCCCACCAGTAGATAAACAGTTGACATGGAAATGGCTCTTGGCCTTGGAACACAGTTACTTAGGTTTGTCATCATTTATGAAGATATGAATGGGGGGATCTGAGTAGCCAGCCCAGTTAGACTGCCGACTACGGTTACGGAGTTAAACCAGGCCTGGCACACAGCCTTTCCCATAAACCCTAATTATTACAAATTATCAAGTGTTCATACATTTGTCTGTATCAAATTTAAAATCCTAAAAAATAAAGACACCAATATTTGCAAAATCTGCTACAAAATGCTGAGGCTTCCTGTTTGGATATAAATTTGAACTGCCTGTACTAATTCTAAATGCTCATTTTATCAAACTTCAAAGGAAAACAGAGGCACAGTTAGTTACATGACAGTTGTACAGTTACTGTAACAATATTGAACCACACACCACACCATCATTCTCTTGTGATGAAACTGATAGGAAGGATAAAAAAATCAGTAACAATATCACATAATTATGCAACAGACCACCCGACAATTACAGTTAATAGTTACCTATCACACACAAGATAGAGCCATAAGAACTGGAATGTGCAACGTTCACCCTACATTTAGGGAAACAATTATACTACAATGTATTTACGTTGATGAAGGTTAGACATCCAGGTACAATACGCCAAAAAGCAGTTACTCAAGCAACTGGATATGATTTTGGAAACGGTCAGACGTTTCAGCTAGTATCCACTAGCTTTCGTCAGTGACTGAGAGACCAGAGGAGAAATGCAGGTTTATAAGCACTAACTATTGATTAATATGCAAATAAAGTGAAGACAATTTTTTGGAAGTCGAAAAGGGAACAAAAATTGCAAACTGCCATGAAACATTATACATTGTTATGCTACATCATTATCATCAGGTTTTGTACCAATTTGTAAAGTGTTTGTAAAGCTAACTCACCTGTACTCTATAGTCTATGTCATTCTCCACTAAGGCTTTGTTCAGAAGGGCTGTGTTCTGGAAGTGAACATTATCGTCAGCAGTGCCATGGATGACCAGAAAGTTCCCCTGCAGTTTGCTGAATTCCTTGATTCTATGGCCAGAGTATGCATTGGCAGCCTGGAAAACCCAATTGTGCCTCAGGTTAGATAGAAAATTCAATTCTGTCTGACTGTCTAGTACTATGAACTACTGAACTTTTGATGTACAACTTACTACAAGTATACTTTGAGAGAGATTTTTTGTTACAGACTTCATAATAATTGCCTGAAGTTCTCTCCCAGGATTTTGCAGGACAGGTGGCAGCGTGGAACAAGTCGTGGGATTACGTAAGACTGGGAGTGGGATTTTGTGGGAGAGCTTGCGGAATGTTGCAGGATAAGGGTTAATATGTTGTTGTTTATACATTTGTATATATACAGTTGTATATATTTTCGATAATTTTTAGATGACCACATGTCATTTATTATAAGCAGTGTAATGTGAACATGAATGTAACATGGCTGCCATCTTGCTTTCATATACATGTAGGTCAGCTGTCACAAAACTAGATTACAATACTTCACGACTTACAGCAATTTTAAGCCTTGTAGTACTCACTATTATATGAAAGTCAACATGGCAGTGCTAAGAGGGCGGTGTGACAGCACACTACCATCTTTTATTCTTTGAGAAAATCTTGGCTTTATGTGAAAATATTACCTATAAATGGGGGGCATCCTAACATCGGACGCTTTTTCACGTGCTCAAACTCACTGCGCTCTATTGCTAGTTGCCAGGGAGGGATCAGGTTTTGATGAATAAATTTTGAAAACATTCATACAGAGAACATACATGACATGAGCCCTTCACCCTACATGTTTAAAGCGGCAAATGCTGTGAGACATTTTCGTGAATGTACAATTGTCATGTACCTTCGTGAATGGCCGACGCTAGACAGTATGCCCTAACTTCGGATGCTTTTATAGTTTTGCTGTCTTCAGAACTTAGTGATGACTTTAAGTAAACAGAAATAAGAACTGAATTCTATGATACTTCAGCTTTCTTTGGATGGTAAAATTGAGATTGTGTGTACTTCTCGTCTCACGTGAGGAGGGTTGTATCAAACGCAATCAGTCAGTGTTTTGACTGAAAACCCAGCTTACGCAATCAACATGGTCCCATGGGAATCATGGGAAATGTAGATGACAGTGGTGTTGACGTTGTTTTTCTCGGGTCGGTTTCCTACAAAACAATCACTCAGAGACCGAAATTTCCACTGTTTTGTAAAGCTTTATGTTCTTATGTATATGTAGCAGTTGTGTGACTGCTTGGCGAAGGTCTATTTTTCTGGATACGACCCGCTGCTACCAAGTGACTCTCTTCTTGGCGCCATCATTATTATTGGCGAAATTCTGATTTTCGACAAAACGATAAATGACCCCGGGCCTATAGAACTGTCCTTTGCATGCAAATAATACCTGTATGCATTGAGTATGACTATTTACCTTTTTAAATAGCAAAGTCAGTGGCAACAAACACGGCATACTTTTGCATAACAAGATCAGTAAAAACTCTGTCCGAACTTAGGGCATGTATAAACTCAAGGCACATACAAACTTAGGGCACCCCCGTTACTAGTTGTGTTTTTGTGGACAGAACTGGTCGTGCGAATTTACCTGTACGTGTAGGCAGCAATGACAGAGGTGCACTTTTGGTTTATAATTCATTGGTGGGTTTTCCCTTTTTTTCCTAAATATTAACACCCAGTGATGAGATAGAGTTGGTTCTGTCTACAAGGATAGCAAGGAGGTCCTGTTTCTTTGTTGGTAGGATAGGAAAACTTAAGAAGGAGTTCTCTCCAGCATCCTGGACTTATTTTTGTGGCACACAAAAAAAAAAAATTGAAAATGAAACAAAGTTAAATCAACTATTTTCCTTTTTCGCTGTGTCCTCGGTAACAAATCTGCAATCTTAGCTGGCAACCTCTTATGCCAGCCAGGTATGGGAACATCGCTAGACTTCATTTCAACATGGCCTCATTATATATATATATATATATTATATATATATACAGTCATGTTTGCGTTACATTTGACGGACTTAGTTAACGCAACGCTGACACAACGCAGCGGCAACGCTGTCGCAACGCAGCGATAACGCTGACACAACGCAGCGGCAACGCTGTCGCAACGCGATAGCGCAACTTGCCGTAATTGACCCCCGGCCGCACAAATGCGTTACAGCATTATTTAACCTGCTACCGAGTGCGCCATCGCGCTATTGACGCAACTATAATGAGCTGGATAGGGTTTCATGTTTGTTTGTCTACTTTGTCATTTAAATTTAGAAACAATAATGGATGTTATGGCCTCCTTTCAGCGGTCATAGACATGCATGAGCGTTATGGCAGGAATTAGTTTGAGCATGGATGTAAAAATGGTTTGAGGCATTTTCAATGAGGTTATTCATCAGCCTGTCTAAACATGTAACGCCCCAAAAATACGTTAGATATAGCAACAATAATTTCAACTACATTTCACCCCAAGATGTCGCAAACAAAATATAGCAACTCCTCCGCTACTTTTCAACACGGCAAGGTCAGACAATATTTGGTGTTGCCCCGGCGGCCGGAATCTTACTTGTGCAGTCAAAAGCGTCATGAGCCAGCGCATGTTGTCGATGATTTTTTTAAAACCATAGAACGCATAATTCAGCAACCAAAATTGAATTGATTTTGTTTGTTCAATACTTATATTTCGCATACGAGTTTAAAAAAGAATGCCTGTTGCCTTTCCTCCCCGCAAGCAAATGTGTATTCCGATACCGAATTCTCCCAGTCAGTCCGTGTGGCGAGTGGCTTCGCTGATCGGGGCACACGTCATAGTGTGCTCTTAAACTTACGCTTCCAAAGTTTCCTTATCCTACCTTTGGCTTATAATCTGTAACATTGAATGTCTTGATTTTGACAAACGTCAGTAAAACCTATGTGGAACATGAAAAAAACAGGTATGAATATGCTTATTTCAGTACCGAAAACACGGGGATAGCTGAAAATAATTGGTTACATCGGCACGCTGTGTAGGCGGGGCACTAATCAACTCATGATGCCGCCCAATGCATATGAATGGATAACGTGACCGATCCCTCGAGAAATAACGCGGGTGACGCGGGGCTACCTATGAGGCTCCGGCCACACAAACTGCGTTACTGTAACGCGGTATCGTCACAACGTTATCGCGCCGACGGCGCACCAGTATCGCACCGCTAACGCAGCCTCCGTCAAATGTATATATATATATATTATATATCAGGCACGGGCTATGAGACACGATCAGCCTCCCGTGGGAGTACCGTGGTAGTCCTGTGACTCTCCCCAAAAATCCTGCAAGGTCTCCCACAAAGTTATGCGTGACCAGTCGTGCATACTAATGCAGTCTCTCCCACAACATCCTGAGGACATCTCTATTTTCACAACAGGTCTCGTTAAATATCACAAGACCTTGATGCATATCACTAAATCTGTACTGAATTACCAGGCTTGTGTACTTCAAGAGAAGAGGCAAGAGAAAGAACTCACATCATAAGCCCTGGAGTTTTTTGGGTGGTGTGGATCTCCCATGTATCGTTCAGCATACACAGAGTCATAAAGTCTCCAGTCCACCACAGGAGCCACAGCTGCTGCACACTTAAACACACCATCACCTTCTCCAGCAACCATTGTTGTCACATAGCCGCCATATGACTGCAATAAACACAAGAAATGAAAGATTTCAAACCTCTGCCAAGTATTTAGAGTTGTTGAATTTCTTGTTTTATATTTATATGTAATTATTGTATCTAGCCAAGTATAGGTGTTGTTGAATTTCTTGTTACCTTCGTCACAAATTTTCCCGGGGGTGTGTGTAACAGATGGGGCATGGTTTTGCAGTGGATTGCTTGTTGTCTTCTGGTTTTGGTGTGGTGATATTTTGTCAGGACAAAGGAGCGTCTAGTGTGTTCTCTGTTTGTCCCAGAACGCTGGGATATTTTGTTTGTGTGATTTTGCTATTGACCTAAGCTTGAGGTAAGTTTTCTTTTAGCCCAAAGCTTGTAACGTTAAGAATGGATATGTAGGGATGTTTTTTTTTTATAGTATCAACCGGAACGCTGAGATAGGGTTTCTTATGTACACTCTTGCTGTTGCTATCAATTAAGGGTACAAATAAATTGTTCTTTGTTCTTTTTTAAGCTGAATTTACTTTAATAGTGATTAGGCCACACCAATTTAATTTCTTGGTTATCGGATTCGCCCTCTTCATTTTTTTTCAGATTTGCAAATAAAAATTCAGAATCAACTGCAAAATGCTCATATTTTGCCCTGAACAGTTGAAAACAGTCCTTTTCATCCTAGTTGTTACAATTATTCCATCTTTCATTGCAATGGTATCATTAAAAGTTCAATATTCATTGTTTAAATTTTGAACCAGCCTGGCGTGTTGACTTCATGGCTCCTATCGTACCATTTTGGGCAATAATAGGATACCTACGCCTGTTTTATTTTATTTTTTTTTTTCACCCGCCCGCTCCATTATTTTTCTAGAAAAATCTGTCAACCAAGAAATTAAAATTATGTCACAATAAGCATCGTGACTATGTTGGAAAATTAAAAAAAAAATGTTTGTACATTTATGTTAGCTTTTGACTCTTAAGTGGCACTCTGGCCACATGAACTGCAGCTGGCTCACCCCAAAAGGCAGTTGTGAAATAAAGCACATTTATAATACACAGACTAGAAATACTTGAGATACAAATGAACTAAAATTCTTCTTGTTCTTTAGATGTCTTGTTCTAAAGATTATGTACTTACCCATCCCCAGATCCCAATTCTGGTTTCATCTATATAATCCAGTTTGCCAAGTTCCCTGAAAATGGGTAAAATAAATTCATACTTATAGTTTATCACTTCATACTACTTCTATGGTTGAAAACTACATTGAATGTCTGTGCTGACGTTTATCTAGTCTCTTTGCATACATAATGATCTAGTCTGGAGGCTCACAACTAAAGCAAATCACATTTTATGGTTTAAAAATGTAGCAAACTGTCCCATGGCAACAAGAGAGGCTCATTGTGATGTCAAATGCCTACTTGTGGGACCGCCACACGTGAAAATAGCTAGACAAGTCTGAAAGGACATTTTCTGCAGCACTACCAGGCCGTCTAAATCACTTCAATCACTCATGAACGATTATTAGTTTACTGGCTCATTGTCATTGAAATGTACAAAATAGTGATTTTTAGGGTAAAAAAATTGATTACTAGTTACTGTTTTTTCAGGCACACCTACCTACAATGTAATGATTACCAAAAAATTATGGACGTTTTTGCTTTTTTTCTCCAAAAAGATCTACAGTTCTCAGCTTCATCTTTTAGGAGCAAGGGATATTAGGGAGAATAAGTAGGGACATTTAAAAACTGGGCAACTTTTATATACCAGGTGAATTAACTAACATTGGAAGTAATAAACAATTGTAACGAAGGTTACATCATTACTCTGTTCGGCAAGGATGGCTACAGACAACAGCAAACACTCCTTTTGTCTTCTCTTAGAAAGCCAGACTAAGGCCGACTTTAGACTGACGACGGTTGAATAGTCGTACGAATGTTTATCGTCAAGATGTTGCCGGCGACGGTATTTTCCCACCGTCTAAAGATGATCAAAATAGTCGCACAATGGTAATCCTCGAATCGTTGTCACTACCACCTTGGACCGTGCAATCCTTCAGCGGGGGGTCCGAGGAGGATTTTCCACTGTCTAAAGTGAACCGTCGCCAGCGAAGAAAGTGAGAGGTCATTGGCCTTATGCACATAAGCCTGCGTTATTTTTTGCCCAAGCACATCGCCTGTATCATTAAATGTCGTCAAACCAAAGACTTTATATCGTTATACGTGTTTAGTACAATCCCTACCAATCGCTACTTCTCCAGTACGGACCGATCCTCCAATCCACATCATGTTCCCGACCAATATAGCCAGGCCGATGGCAGCACCGAACGCTGGGTTCAAATCCGGAGTATAATTTACCCCGCTCGGTACATGTGCCTCATACCCCTTCATTGTTGGGCACAAACTCGGTGTCTCATCCAAAGGACAACGCAAGTTAAAAGCAGAATAAAAACAATCTGTTGCAGCATGCCGAAAAAAGGGGTTCTCTCGACATTTTGGAGGAATGTCCAGTATCAGGGTGAAGTGACCAAAGTTAGGGGGTCCAGACTTGTCCAAAGTTACAACCATTTCCTAATGGATTTGACGCTATATTGTGAGTCAGGAGTGACGTTAGATAATGTATAAGATGACGTCATCTAACTTTGGACACAGGATGGGGTAGGGTGGCGGGTGTCCAAAGTTCTCCAAAGTTACGTGAAGTCATCTAACTTTGGACACAGGGCAGGGTAGGGTGACATTTGGTTACACGAACCAATTGTTTTCAACTTTGGACAACTTTGGACACCTCCCATTTGGGTTAGACGATGTCATGGGCTATATGTGAGATGTAAGGATGACGTCAAAAGGTAACTTTGGACAACTTTGGTCACTTCACCCTAATATGCCATTTTGAATGCCATTTTGAATTGGCGTGCGGCATGCTATCCTGTGCTGCGGATGTGTATCCAGGATTACCTGAAAAGCAGGCCAAAATGGCCTGAGTTGTAATTACTGGTTAAATAAATAAATTGAAATTGCCTACAACGATTGTCGTGTGATCGTATACCGTCGTCAGTCTAAAGCCGGCCTAATGTGCTGTGCCATAAGCTACATGTGCATAATCATATGTAGATAAAAGCAAGGAGAAGTACGTACTTGGCAACAAAGATTTGATCTTTGACCTCCACTGTTCCAAATTTCTCGTGCAGTTCATACAAAACCTTGTCGCCTTGGTAACCAGAGCCACGCCCATCAAAGCTCACCACAATGACTCCCTCAGTGCTGGCTAGATAGGTGGCCCAGTTGGCCCGATAAGTCTCCTGGACTTTTTGAGTACCTGGGCCTCCATACCTAAGATACCAAGTAATGATAAGAACAGTTGTAAACGATGTTTCTTGCATGTTCATGCCCAAAAGACTAATTAATGCAAAAATTACTACAAGTGGTCTATTGGATATGAAACATGAAATCCTCCACCATATAAAGTAACAATTTGAAAATGTCATCATCATTACACATGTACATGTACATGAACAACTACTCTCAAAACAGCAACAAATTAATCATAAGTTATAGCCATTTTGAATATCTAATCAGAAGACTGGCAACCTTCTGGCATGCACAAAATTTGACAAGGTCTTTGAAAGTGTGCATAAAATGGAACTGCTCGACAACTGTGCAAATGTATACAACATGTATAATGGCAACAACTATATCAAATAACAATATGTCTACAAAACTAATCTGCCATATGCATATATCTACACTGGGAAAGAGTAATAAAACACTGCCTTACACGTCTAACAGAACTGGATACTTGGAGTCTTCACTAAAGTCAGGAGGAAGGATCATCTCCGCCCAGTAGGCTGGAAAGACAGACAGACTTTTAACAGCTCAATGAATACAGTCAAACCTTGTTGATGTCACAACAACCACTCCTGGGACTGAGAAAAAACTGGGCAGGTTATAAAATGTAAAAAAAAGTGTCTCCAGACCTGTTTTGCTGTCAATTAGGCCACACCAATTAAATTTGTTGGTTCTCAGATTTTAAAAAAATGAAGTGACAGAGCAAAAAAATAAAAACAGCATCTTTTTATAGCCTCAAATGCAATGATAGGAGCCATGAAGTCAACACAAAAGGCTGGGTTAATATTCAAACAATGAATTTTGAACTTTTAATCAAACGACTGCATTGATAGATGGAAAAACTGTAACAAGTAGACAAGTAGGAAGAAAAGGACTTTCCTCAACGGTTGGGGGCAAAAAGCTGATCCAAAACCAGAATCTTTTTTTTAAATCAGAAAAAAATGAAGAGTAGAATCCGAGAACCAACAAATTAAATTGGTGTGGCCTTAATGTGCTTCACTGATTGTGCCTTGTGTGTGGCACAACTGTCAAGATATTTGATTGGGTCCTGAATGTCCCATGCAGACTTTAAAAAATGTGATAACATATATATTATATTAATATTATTATATTATATTATATCATATCATATTATATTGATTGAGGGTAAGACATTGGTTGTACATACAGGGAGATTAATATAGGCACAACACCCAGAATGGAATCTACATCTGAAGCTTATTCATTAGCTTATAGACAGTAAATATCTACTAGTAGACAGCTTTGTTGACAGGATAGGGAGTGCATGCATCTTCTACACAGCCAGGTTAAAATACAGATACAAAGAGCATTGGAAATTGGCATGACAATGAGATTGAACATACTGTTTCCATCTTCAATGGTGTACTCCTGATATTTGTAAGTTGGCCACTGGGTGGCAGAGACCCTCTTCCTCAAAACACTGTTATTCTCTAGTGTAATCACTGGTGAAGAAAAACATGACAACTGTCAGATATTTGTTAATATATCATTGTAATAGCTTATTGTACTGAACAATATTTGTAGAAAAATGCACCATTTCTTACTACTAAAGTATGCAAATGGCCTGTTCCACTGATGTACATGTGTAATCTAACATCTAATAACATATCCAAATATATATCAATGGCAGTTTGTCAAGTGGTGCCAATTTAGCAAACTAAGGAGCAATCTGCCATTTCTTACCTGTTAGTGTTACATATCTAATAATAGATTACACAATGTAACAATGCTACTTACATTTGTATGCCATGTATTAATTACCTCAGTCTACAAAAATTGAGGTATTGTTTTTGGTGTGTCTGTCTGCATTTCTGCATATTATTTGTTGTCAGCATAATTTACTGAATTTAATTGAACTTCAAGGCCTTCATGGATTGTTGGGTATGTGGGCAGGTCTTAATGGAAGAAAAATGTCAAGGTCAAATTTGGGCCTCCTGGTGGCTGACCTTGGTACTGCAGCAGTTTTTGTATCTTTTGTCTTGGACATGCTATGGTCTTGATTTTTTTGGTCACAGATAGCTTTTTGTGGCAAGGGTACCGAAAGTAACGGGTTCCTCACTGGGCACCTCAGTGTGGACCTTGTGGGGAAAGTGGCATTGACACTCTGGGCCCTGTGCAGAAGAAAGCTCCGCACAGGAATTCTGGTGCTGAATGTCTTTGTTCCAGTGCTGAAGCTCCTTCCGAACTGGTATTCCAGAGCTGAATCTTGTCTAAACTCCACTCAGCACTCAGGTGCCAGTGCTCGTAGACTGTGCAGCACAGGATTCATATGTTCAAGTTCCTAAGTAATAGGTTCCTCAATGGATTTTCCAGTGCTCAGTGACTCTTTGCCACTGGAAGCCGAGTTCTCATATTTCTATATGTACTGCACTTCCGGTGCTCAGGTCAGCATACAATACAGTAGTGTAGTCCTACACATGGTACATGTATCTCAAGGCCAAGTAAACATGTGAGGAGAGAGGCCATTCAGAAGTGGCCTGACAATCAGTTTGTTGTTCTGGTATTAATTTGCAGTCAAAAGCATGAATGACATTCTGTAGACATGAGTCCAAGGTATCCACATACTGAATTTCAGGTCATTCGGATTTAATACAAGGGTTCCAGATCCCAAAATGTACATTTTTTTGCCTAAAAATGGCAAAAAAAATTAATAAAACAATTTTAAAAGTCTATATCCAAAAAAAGAATAAAAATCATCTGGCCACTCTACCTTCATACCAAATTTCATGTTACTTGGCCAAAAAATGAAGAAATTGAATCCGTTTAACAAAATGACAGAAGAAGAAGAAACATGAGAATATGTTTCACCACAACACTTTGTGGTGATTTTGGCCAACAAAAGGCAGAATCATGTTTTTTTACACTACCTGATAAATTTTGGTAAAATCCACGGAAATGTCAAATGACTTAAAGGGATTATCTTTAATTCGTCAGTGATGAAGGTTAACGTCATTGTTAACATTATTTGGCAAAGGTAACCCGAGTTAAGTGAGGAAATAGGTGTAAAGTACTGTACCTTTCAAACGGGCACAGCATTGGGGCCTTCCTTTAGATTATAAGTTTAAACAACCCTAACCACAAGACCTCTTACCACCTTGCCAGGTAGACTTGAATTCATCTGACATATAAAGTATTACAGCCACCTTATTTTGGTGTTAGATTGCTAAGTGGAAAGACCTGAGACAGTGTATGGTACGGTACAGTGCTCCCCATTGAGGGGTTGAATGAATAAGAGATATGTGAATAATGTAACATTAAAACTGTATTCCTAGCATACATGTATAAACATGTGCTCATGCATGTATATCAAGAGTAGATTTTTTGGTCAGGTAGGAATTTAAGAATTAATCAGTCTATTGAAATAAGGATTTCCAGAGCATTATGCTTCAAAGCACTAGTTTCTATTAGTATGGAGAAGCAATGGGAACCACCGTACCGAGTGCACTGTTCTGTACCTATAGCGGTACTGTTCTTTCCACTTACCCATACATTTTATGTATGTTAAGAAAGAGACACACCTTTCCTGCCTGGAGTTGACAAAAGAAGACAGCATGAGTACAGTATTAGTATAGCATTTGAGAAGGAAGGATAGGTTGGCAAAAGGGAGGGACAGAAAGACCTCATAGCACAAGGGTTATACATATACATAGATACACACATGTACTTACTGACAGAAATGTTAACAGTCAATCAAAAGTGATAATATTTGCAGTTTTTGTGGTCCACAAACTAATCATTAGGCCACACCAATTTAATTTGTTTCTTCTCGGATTCACCCGTTTAATTTTTTTCTGATTTGCAAAAAAAAACAAAACAAACATATCAGCCTCTGAATCAACTCCTAAATGCTCATATTTGGGCCCCAACAGTTGAAGACCCTTCTCTTCATAGTTATGGTGATACATGTTCCCTCATGCCCTCATGTTTCTTCTCCTTCTGCCATTTCGTTAAATGGGTTCAATTTCTTCATTTTTGGCCCAAATAACATGAAATTTGGCATGAAGGTACAGTGGCCAAATACCCCCAGACATTTTTTTTTCATTTTCTTGATACAGGCTTTTAGAATGGTTTTATTCAGACTTTTGGCTGTATTTTAAAACTTATAAGTAATGTACTTAGTCTATTATAATAGCAGTGTGTGTTACCATGATTGGAGTGTAACCATATTTGGACATAGGGTAAGGAGGTCAATGCCCAAATATGGGCAGCAGCTGCAGCCCTGTTTGCAGATGTGGTCGCTGATTGGCTGTTCCCTTAATTACTTTACTGCTAAATGAACACCTGTGTATGGTTCCACATACTTATAATAGGAACAACTACTTTGTTTTTTATGGGTTCACCACACCACGAAGTGGTGTGGTGAAACCATATTGCTTTTTCTGATGTTTCTCCTCCTTCTCCTCCTGCCATATCTTTAAATGGATTCAGCTTCTTCATTTTAGGGCCTAAGGTCCTGAAATTTGGTATGGAGGTACAGTGGGCAAATACCCCTAGGCGTTTTTTAAATTATTGTGATACAGGCTTTTAGAATGGTTTTATTTGAGTTTTTTGGCTGTGTAATAGCTAATGTATTACTGTGTAAGTGTGCAGTGTTTACCACATTTGGACATGAGTCATCACAATGGCATGCAAGGCATCAACCAATAGGCATGCAGCTTTCCTCTATTCTCCTTGCTGATTGGCTGTTGGGATTTAACTGGCTTAACTTCATTTACACCTGCACAGAGCCATGCCATACTGACAGTATGTCTGTATTCAAGTGTTTTGGTAGGTATTTTAAGCTTTCCTGCTCCAGCATTGGAATGCGGGCTATGAACGCTTCTTTTTATCTTGAAAATCAACAGTTTGCATTATGCAATCCTAACCAATAATGTAGGGAATAGCTATCCAACTGTTGTAGTCTTAGTTGTATGTTACTTCATACTATAGTTATATCAATGTAAAGCATTGTTTTCCCTTGTGTTTCTCATTCTTTCCCTGCCATGTGGTAAAATGTGGTGAACCCATCGCTATATTTGCTCCAAAGCAAATATTGGCCTTTCTAGTTTTACAAGTATTGGCCAGGAAAAGGAGCCTCTTGGGTTGTAAATCAGTGGAAACATGCCATATAACCTACACATTTTTATATACCTTGCTATTTTCTAAACCAAATTTTAAAATCTTTAATCCAAATTAGCAGC